TCAACTCACAAGTTTAAAAAATACTTTTCCCCCTTCTGCTTTGCTGCTGCTGCTGCTATGAGGGTCGGAGATTGAACCCCTCTTGGTCGTGGGGCCAACACACTTGCAGCAGCACTCACTTGGTGCTGCTCCAGCTGCAGTGCCCGCCGGGGGTGCTGCGCTGCTTCCACATCTCCGTGGGTCTCACATCCCAGGGGCAGTGCAGTGGCGAAGAACCTGAAGAGCTAACTTTCTGGATTACACCGGTGCTTATGGGTGGCATCTAGAATTGCCCCAGGAGCCTTGGGCTTGCCAAGAAGCAGGCATTATCCTTGTTCCAAGCTACCATTTTGTGACTGGTACAAGAGTGCCTTACATCCGGCAAAATCATGCCCTGAGTTTCCAACACTGATGCTTTCCTGGGAGTGTGATCAGGTGGTGCGATCCCTTTGTGTGATGTTGCATAACCACGTAATCAATCGTGAGGGTAAACTAGGCTGGGTGGGCGGAGCCACGATGCTTAGCCACTTTAGTGTAAGAAATGCCATTTCAGCAGGATATTTTCACAACATGATGATTTTATCATTGAATAGGTTTCAGGTTTTTGTTTTTATGTAGAGCTGATTAAACCAGAAGGTTTAATTAAAGGACATAGCAAAGTTGGGAATCTGATTCCAGGTCTCCAGCATGTAAAACCAACGTACCAGATGGCTGAGCAACCTGGCTGGCCCCACAATGATTTTACTGGGACATAACCATCATGAGAAGTCAAGGAAGATCTGTACCAGGGCAGTAAGAATGCTGATCTACTGAAGAGGGAGTGGGCAGCCTCTTATGAGTCTGAGAGATGGGAAAGAAAATACTTTCATGTAGGAACGATGTTCAAGCTCAAACACAGGCAATGAATAGGACTTAGCTATGCAGTCTAATGCATAAGAGAGAAGAGTGCGTGACAGGCAGCAAAAGGGATGAACTTCTGAGTGATGCTCAGGATGATTGGAGCATGTCTTTAAATCTTTAACAGCCTCCCTATTCCAGGTCATCATGCCCCAATCCTGTTAACCTATTTTTCCACTGTCCTACTGACAGAGATGGTCTGTTATGCCATATCACCAGAGCTGAACACACTATGCATTCTTCCTTTTCTCCCTCCAGCTAGCTGCCCAGGCCAGGAAATACAAGTGATTGAGAAAGAGTTTCATGTAACCTAGAATTAAAAACACTATGGGGATGCCTCCAGGAAAGCTGAAAGAAACACCCAGAAGTCCAAAGGAAATAGGTTTCATTGAATTTATAAGAGAGAAAATATTTGTGGTTCCTTAGACATTTGCACTGCTATAAAATTACACTTTATAGTACAATTATTAATGGTTTGAAGAGAAATAAACAGCATAAACGAAATATGACCAATACTATGAAAATGTAAACCATGTAAATCAAAATCATAAACCAATTATTCAATACTCAGAGGTCTACTTAATATATACATATAAAATTTCTTATATACATAAACAACAGAAGCCTAAAAAATCACTGTGAAGTTGATTGCTGTACAAATATGAAAATAAATCTTTATCTTTAACCTCAATTTTATCTTCAGCAAGAGAGTTGTACAATGTGAGTTTATGCAAATCACATTAGTATTAAATAATCAAATGTCACATGTCATATAAAGCAGCAAATAAAAAATAAATTATCACAATACATGAAGCTAAAAGGAAATATGTCACCTAATATTTTTTCCATGATAAAATTAAAATGTTATCCAAAGTTTCAAGAAATATTTTAAAAAGGAGTGTAGTAACCTTGATTTTTAAAACTTTAATAGGAAAAACTGCGTCAGGTTACTGTGTAAGACAAATGTTTTAAATTAAGTCTAAGTTAAAAACAGAATACTTTTGTTCCTTTCTGAAAATATACTTTAAATTTGAGAGCCTCTTCATGAAATAAAAATTTGGTAATTAAATGTGACCTGCTAGAGTGTAGCTGAAGTAGATTTTCTTTAAATAAGACTGCTAACCACATGAGTCTCTTGATCTGCATCTTGTTGCCACAATGTTTATCAAGTTTCAGTTAAAAGAATTTTTTCCCCAGAGGTGAAAAAATATCTATATAAGGTGCTATGTAAACTTCTAATGAATTTGAGTGTACTAGCTATATAGTTCAGAGGCAAAGACCAAGATAGTACTATTTTTTTGTTTTTATCAAAGTAACTCTATATACAAATTGTCAGAAAAAAAAAACACACAGAACACAGAGAGACACTTTGGGGGAAAATAAATAAAGGTAACATGATAACATGTACTCAAACAGTTTTGTGCAATTGTACCATACAAATAGCTCAGCATGTGTTGAACATGTCAACACATACACCAGGTTCGTTCAAACAGTCTCCTCAGAGGTCACCCAGGCAACATCAGCGGCAGAGCATCTGCCTAACTCTGGCACTAAAATAAGCACCATTTCCTCCTCTGCCCAGGTGGGAAATTCCTTGCAAGCATGGCAGGGTTCTTTTTGGGTTTTGTCAAAATGTAAACTTTCATTTTTTCTAGAACTAACAATCTGCAGGAAACAAAAATCTGTAATTGAGTTCTTAAGTGCAACTTTCAGTAAAAAAACTAGACATCATCTATAAAGAGAAGACAGGTACTTTAAAGATATTGGCTCCTATAATTTAAATATAATGGATCTGGTCAAATTTATGTTGACAATTAAGTTTGGGGAATTTGAGGCTTGAAATCATAAAAGTCATGAACAGAAGGAGAAATTCTGTAGTGAATTCTCTTAAACCAACAGGAGGATTTGTCTCATATATAATGCAAGATATAATAGTTATCATTTAGAGTTTTTCCACCATGGGACTGGGAGCTACACTTGAACCAAAAAAAGTTCTGAACTAAATTAAGCTCCAATGTCTGGGTGGGAATCACATAAACGGTCCAGGTTACTGAAAACCAAATTCAGGCTCTGCTGGCATCACTGGTGCTTATATTCCAGTGGGGAGGTTTGGGGCATCGCAAGATCCAACAGAAGAGCAAGAGCAACTAGGCGCTCAGTCAGGCTGAGTTTCCTGTTCTCATTAAACAAAGGAGGGGAGTCTGATTCTTCCTTCCCACGATTTCACCATAGCTCTTTCAAATACTCTTTCTGTCAGTCACAATCACAATCACAAATCATCCTGTTATTCGTCGATTGCCTCGAGCAGGCCCCAGTAACGTCTCTTTCATCCTAGCCCTGAGATTATATTCAAGGCTCTTTAGGAGAATGAGACCCATCATTGTTACTGGTATTTGGCATATTGGGTACGCCACGGGGAGTTTTCCAGACTCTGCCCTGTGGGCAGGCTACATTTGATAGCCTGCAAGTTTGTCCAAAGTAGGAATGAGATGTCATAATAAGATGTCACGTGGCCGTATACACCATTTAAAGAAATAATACTAACAAAAATAAAGTTAGGGGCTTGAATTATATTGGAGTTGATCATTTAATTTCATTTCTTTGTTTCCCCTCAATAAGGTCCCAGGCCATGCTCTATTGGGATTTCCTGGGCTCATGCAGCAGCAAGAAGCTTCAAGTTTCACTGCCCTGGGCACTTCCTAAGGCCACTGAGCCATCTTCTGGGGCCCCAGTTCATGATTTTATAAAAGGTAAAGGCCCTCCCGTTGATCGTCGATTTGCTCGAGCGGGCCCAGTAACATCTCCATTGGAGACTTTGTTGTTACTGTGTCTGGCATATCAACATGGCCGACCCGAGTTCGATTCCTCTGCCCCTCTCGGAGAGCCCGGCAAGCTACCGAGAGTATTCGATATGCCAGACATGATTTTATACTGTGGGAAATGTTTATTTCAACATGTATATTTTCATGTGGTAAACTGTTGTTAATCTGTAAATGCCTTTTATCAGATATAATTCACATACCATCAAATTCACCCTTTTAAAATGTTAAATTCAGTGGTTTTAGTATTTTCACAAAGTTGTGAAGTTTATTCTGTATCTAATTCCAGAAAATGCTCAACATTCCCCCCAAAAAACTATATACTCATTGGGAGTTACTCCTAGTTCCTAGCTCTGGCCAGTCCTGGATTTACTAGTACAATTGTTTTTTGTTTTGTTTTGTTTTGTTTTAAGTTAAAAGAGTCAGTTTGCCTGGGTGTTATACTTACTTTTCAGTTGTTTGTGGTTTAATAAGTTTGCATTGAAATTTTTAATATTAAATGTAGGCCAGAGCCTTCACGAATATTCTAAAATTATAAAATACCCTCCTTTTAGCTATTTTTGTCATAAAACTGTTTTCTTTCTTTATATTGGAGACATAGATTTTTCTGTCATCCATAGAGGCTATAATGTTATCATTTTTTTCTCAATTAAATTGTTTCAGAAGTGAGAAAAATCAATACTTCAATATTAAAAAACAAAGAGTACCAATAATCAGGATCCTTATTAACTGTGGGCCATTGGGTTCTCTTTTCTCAGTACTTCAAATGTTATAGGACATAAGAGGTCAAGCAAGGCCTTCCAGGTCAGGGAGGCTGTTTCACAGAGAGGAACCAAACAGAACATGGTGAAAGGAAACAGAGAGTGAAAAACAACATCAGAATAATACCGCCTCCCCCCAACCCCTTTCTACAACTCAAGCACTAAAAATTTTAAGTAAATATTGAAAGCTTTCTACCACATGAGCCTATCCATGTCTGCTTCTGGCACAGTTTCTATACAGACATCTGATTTCCCCCACTTTACAAACATTTATATGTTCTCTGGGAAGAATCTGTAAGGATGAGTCTTTATTTAAGCAGTGGGCCCAAATGGTTCATTGAAAGAGCAAAAAAAAAAGAAAAAAGGAAAAGCAAAAACAACAGCTGAGGTTCTGGAAGAATCTGAAAGCGTAGTTCAGCTTTCCTGAGTGCAGCTCTCCTTCTATAGTGTGCATAGAACAAATGCATCACTCGGCAGGGAGCAAATGCCCTACAAATTCATTACTCTGGAAGCAAAGACTTCATAGGCCAAGAACGTTTTGGGTTTAACCATTGCAACAGTTTTTCATCTGGGCTGACTTTTTGGAAGATGTCAAATTGGTAATGGATTTGCTGTCATCCTCATCAGTTCTTTTCTTGACTTCCCTGGAGGAGAGAAAGGCAGAGAGCACCAATGTATTAAGAGTTAGAAAGAAGAAAAATAAAGCAGTCACAAAAAAAAAAAAACAAAAACAAAAAAAAAAAAACAGTTCTTGTTTAAGGAAAGTTAACGTATAGCCACATGTTGTTAAATTTCTGTTATTGAACACACATCCACACAACCCTGCCTGTTAGGGAATGTGAGACTAATTATCCTAAGGCACAGACTAGGAAATGAAGGCTCAGGGAAAGGATGAGTAGAACACAAGCTAGCCCATCACATTCTGCAAGACCTGTTTCTTTAAGACATTTGACCCCTGTAAGATGATACATTTTTCACTGTAGCCAGGACATTTGTAGAAATTTATTATAGCAGCAATAGAAAATGAATGCAACTTTCAAATGCAAAAATCCAGGCTATTTAGTCATCGGACAAATGACCAATTTCCGCAAAACTCTGGGACCCTTTTGGGGCACCGGAGAGACTCTGAAAGATTGATTCTAAGTAACTCACTGCAAGGTCCCAGGAGAGGAGCTGATACACGCGCACCATATGCTACAGGAACACAACCCTGGGGCTCAAGGAAGAAAGGATTCTTGGAGATTCCTGAAAATTCTGACACCAAAGGAACATTTGGAGAAACTAGAAAGTCCTCTTCAGTTGTCAAGGAAAGGGAAGTTTAGATGCACAGAACCAAAGGCATCCAGGCAGAGGAGCAGCTCAAAGCTAGGCCGCCAGTGGAAATGACATTTGCTCGCCTGTGGATTATCATTCACTTAAAGCCCATGGTTCTGGTGAAGGAAAATTTATTTGCTGATTTATAGTGGTTGTGACAGCTCTCCAATCAGCTAAGGGCAACTGTACTTCGAAGACAAACTTTACCTGGGATTTGAGAGCTATTTCCAAGAAAACACTGAACAGTTCACATTGTTACCCAAACAGCTGTGTTCTCATTCCAAAACCAAACCAAATATTGTTCTATATAGAGTAAACCTCAAAGCGCTTCAAAGTTTTATGTCATGATATGAATATACCATATAAGTACATATTATATATGTGATTATATATTATATAATTGTCACTGTCACTGTCCTCCCGTTGTTTATTGATTTGTTCGAGCAGGCCCAGAAACATCTTCATTTTTTTTAAGACTTGTTACTAGTGTTTGATATATCGAATACATAACGGGTAGCTTGCCAAGCTTTGCCGTGCAGGCGAGATACTCTCGGTAGCTTGCCGGGCTCTCCGAGAGAAGCAGAGGAATTGAACCCTGCTCAGCCGGGCTGGCTGTGCACAAGGCAAATGCCCTACCACTGTGCTATCACTCCAGCCCTATATTATATAATATATTATATAATTTAAAATATATATATATATATAAAACTATCTAAAGGCTTCAAAACTTTGGTAAATGATCATTTCCCTTGGGGAGGACACACTTTTCCCATATGTGACTGAAAGTGCTCTTACATCCAGCCATATCTGAAGGCAGAGTATAATGCAAATTCAACTCTACCTAGATATTTGCTTATTTATAATTTTCACATTTGACATATTACTGATATTCACTAGTGGCCCCCAAGCCAGTCTGTAATGAAATCATAATAAGAAAACTCCTGATAACTGAGGCACATGTTTTTTTCTGGTCACTTTGCTCAAGTATTAATAACAAACTATAATGTGCTTAGGAGCTGGCTGAAGTGACTCATTGTCAAACTGCTAGTCTTACAGGTGTTTCAGGTAAACAGACACACCTGGGTACATAGGGCCGCCCCTGAACACACCCCAGAGCCACAGGGAGCAGCTGCGGGAAAGGCAAAAGAGGCTGATGACCTCTCCTGTATTTATGACACAGGTGGAGAGAATCGATTCTGCACTCAGGGTGGGATGCATCCACTGGGAGTCATTTAACTTGAAGGTGAGTCCTTGAGACACTTGAACATTGTACAATGATTATGCTAGTTCATGGAATACAGCAACTCTGTAAAATCATGATCTGTCAACTAAAAAGGACCCTGGAGATGATCTTCCTTAGCATCTCCCTCCGCCCCCCCACCCCTCCACCCCGCTCCCCCCCCCTACATATTTGCAGATGAGACAGAGACTTAGAGACTTGTCCACAGCTTTTCAAGGACAGGCTGAAGGCTGGACTCTGAGTCTCTTGCTCCTGTGACCCACTAGGATGTGGGAGAGTAGCAGCATCCTTCCCCCTCCTGAGGCCCCTCAGCTGCCTAGCAGCAGCATGACAGCGCCTACGGCTAGACACCATCCAGCTCACCTTTCCATTCATGGCAGAAAACTCAGTGGAAGAAATAAATCTAATGGATGTTATTTCCTAAGAATACTTTAAGAATTAAAATATATTTATCACCAAGTGCTTAAATGGTATGATGTTTATATCAATCTATATCCTAAATTTTAAAAAATTATTGAGTCAGCTGCATTAGCTTAATAATTATGGGGCAATAAGTTTACAAAATGCTTCCAACTGGTACAGTACTTTTTTTTGTAGAGTATTGTACAAATAAAAAATTTTGTATTTTGCCCAGGAAAATGACAGAATTACACTCATAATGGTCTCTTGTGTTTACATGATTCCTGGAAGTGATGCATTCAAGTCAACTATTAGCTCCATGGTGTTGTTTCACATGAACGTCAGCAACACCTCAGCGGTACCTGCGTGTTTATACAGTAGAGCTATGCTGCCAACGTGCACAGAGTGAATACACAGGGTTACCAGGTTTATGTAATCCATGATTTAACCGTTTACCCAACTACCACAGAATGACAAGAGTTTCCCAACATATATTCATGGTCAAAAAAAAATGACATATGCATCAGCAATGTGAAAATCCAATTCTACACCTAGTGTTCCAACTGTAGGACAGAACATTACCGAGCGAGATGCAGAACAGCTTCCAATACATTTGAACCATCTTTGGCACTTGTTTCACAGAATAAGGCCCCGTAAGTCTGTAGAGAGAAATACATACAACAAAATGAAAGGGTTAATTGAGTTTCCAAAAGTTTTAGTTTGTAAAACCAGTAAAATAAAAACAAAATGCTTTTCTCTCTATTGCAATGAGTACTTAACAGCCAAGACCTTGAATTCCATGTTTTGATACTAAGAAATAAATGGAGTTTGAGGCCAGTCATTTCAGGAAAAGTTGTCTGAAATTTTTCAGCAAGATGGTATTTATTTTGTGTTCAACACACACGCATGCACTCGTGCACTCAGCACAGAAGCAGCACAGGGATGAAGTGCCCTGGTCTGAACCCCGGCACTGCATGGGCTCCTGATGCAGCTCCACAGGCCACTGAGGTGATTCTTCGGTGGATCCTGGTGCCAGGATGATCCCTGGCCCAAGTAGCACAATATCCACTGGCTCCAGGATCCATTCCCATGTCCCAGGAGCACTGCTGGAGAGTATTTTTCCCCAAAATAAAATCACACATAGAACCCAAAATGACATGTTTTAAGGTTTTTATTTCCAACAGTCACATATCAAATATTTTCTACCATCTGAGAGAAAAATGCCAGTTTAAAGGAATTAAATGTCATTCCCAAAATTCCTCATTTTTGCCAACACGTATCAGACATAACTATGCATTAAACTAACATCTTTCCTCTCAGTTCATTGGCTTCAGTGTTGCCAAAGCTAGTGGTTCTTTCCTAGTTCTGCTTAGAGTGGTCATGATTCAACCACCGATCATCTCTCTTGCTTTAAACCTTTAGATATTTCCTGTTCTAGAACAATACACAAATGTTTGACTCTCACTCACAAGGTTTAGGTTGCTCATGGTCAGCTTCTCAGTTTTATTCCCTCCCACTCCTCTCCATAGCCCTGACCTTCCCTATACTTCTCCAATGTTCCAAATTTCAGCCCTCCTCAAGGCCACAGGGCCCGTGATTTAATTACCAAGGTCATCAGGTCATCCCCTATCTTCATCTACCTCCTTCACCATGGCAACTCCTACATGTCTTCCTTTTGGATTACTAGAGGATCTTCCTCTAAAGCTAAAATTAACTGTTTAATAAACCTAAAAATTCTGTTAGGTCCTTTTGTTATGAAACCTCAAAGCCTTTGATACGTTTCCTGTACAGCTCTTATCATAATTCTACTTGAAAAAGTTCTTTTATGGAGGCAAGAAACACAGTACAGTGAGTGGGGCATTTGCCTTGCATATGGCCAACCGAAGTTCAATCTCCTGTATCCCATATGGTCCTCCAAGCCCGCCAGGGGTGCAGGGCGAGTTTTAACCCCTGAGCATGGTCGGGAAAACAAACAAAAACAAAAACAAAAAAAGGAAAAAGTTCTTTTTCTTTCTTTGTCTGCAAAGTTGGAGGAGACAATGTCCTTAGGAAGACTGGGCATGCCTTACATGAGGGTCAGTGGGGCAAAGACAGGATGTGATGTCCACTCTGGGTGGGGAGAAAGAACAGAAGAAAATGATGGGACCAACTCCATAGCGGGAGCTTTGTTTGTGAGTCCTCAATTCCACAGACTATCTATAAAATGCAACAGAATAATGCTTTTCCAGCAGAGAGGGCGATACTGCTGTTGAGCTCGACAGCCACGAGATTATGGGGATCTGGGGAGTCAGGAGACAGATCACCTCTGGGGTGCAGGAGGGTGGGGTCCTCAGAAGAGAGCAACTGTGCCTACAATAGTGATCGGGTAGAAGTGAGTTCATCTCCTACACAGATACATAACTCCCAACAATTTCTGACTATTCTAGCCAGGGATGCACATATATGAGAGATAAACGTCTTCCCGACCAGGGCTTCAGCAGCTGAAGACCTCCAGGACCAGCCACCACCATGCTGAGACCACTCTCCGCACACATGAAGGTACTGGCAGAGGGACAAAGCCACGCAGGTTCCGGGGCCAAGATCTCCAAGCCTACTCAGATTAGAGTCGAGCATCCTCCACCCAGATCCTCCAAATTCCAGTAGGCGGGGGTCACATGCACCACCTGGCCCCCTGGCGCCGTGTAATCCCATCAACGGCCAAGACTCAGAGACTATAAAATCCAGCTCCTGGAACCGCGCGGCCGCATTTGCGGCCACGCTACATCTTATCAGGACATCTTTTTATGACATCTTATTATCTCATTCCTACTTTGGACAAACTTGCAGGCTATCGAATGTAGCCTGCCCACAGGGCAGAGTCTGGCAAACTCCCTGTGGCGTACCAAATATGCCAAATACCGGTAACAATGATGGGTCTCATTCTCCTAAAGAGCCTTGAATATAATCTCAGGGCTAGGATGAAAGAGACGTTACTGGGGCCTGCTCGAGGCAATCGACGAATAACAGGATGATGAATGAATGAATGAATGAATGAATGAAACGTCTTCCAGTTCTTTTCCACCCATGTGATCACTCTACGATTCTTTATGCCCCCAGCATGGTAAACTTCTGAAACCAAAATGACATTTTCAAAATGAAACATCCATCCTCTTTCTTTACCCTGACTAGAAACTAGAGGAGTCAAGGAAGAACATAAAGAGGAAGAAAACAAAATAATTTTGGATCCAGTTCATCAGTGGCACATACTGTACTGTATACTGTCCTCCCGTTGTTCATGGATTTGCTCCAGCGGGCCCAGTAACGTCTCCACTGGAGACTTTGTTGTTACTGTGTTTGGCATATCGAATACATCACAGGGAGCTTGCCAGGCTCTGCCGTGCAGGCGAGATACTCTCGGTAGCTTGCCGGGCTCTCCAAGCGGTGCGGAGGAATCGAACTCGGGTCGGCCATGTTGGCTGTGTGCAAGGCAAACACCCTACCACTGTGCTAGAGACGGACCAGTGACACATAATGGGTAAAAACAAGGACAAACTATTACCAGCAATCTGGCACTTAAGGGGCTGAATCCCTGGGGTAATTGCTCATATTCTTGGAGTCTTTGGGAGGGGGTGTTGCTGAGAGTTGTGCTTGTCTAAATCCAGAAGCACCGTCACACACTGTATAAGTGAATCAAAGAACCTCTTAGGTAGTAAGAGATAAAAGTGAAGGACTTCTTCAAATATACACCCACCCTCACTCTTACCATTGCCAGTTTTTCTCCAAGGTTTCCTGGGACACATTTTTGTCCTTCTACTTCAGTAGTGTCCCGAAGGTCAGCCTTGTTTCCTACCAACATGAGTGGGATTCTCTCCTGAGTAGCGTCCTACCATAGAGAAAAAGCATGCATAATGAGTAAGAGTAAACTAGCAAGCACTGCCATTTCCCAGTATCTGCTAGATAAGGTAGGTGGTCAGGCATGCAATGGTGCCTACAAGTGTGTGTGTGTGTGTGTGTGTGTGTGTGTGTGTGTGTGTGTGTGTGAATGTGCGTGTGTGGGTGTGGGTGGCAGGGGTGGTTATGCAATCAGAGGGGAACACGCAGGGCCCTCAGAAATGTGGACATAAAAGGGGAAACTGCCCAGATCCGAAGTACTCTGGCTGTTGGATCTCAGCATCTGGTGATGCCCCCACAACAGACATCTTGACAAACAGAGCTTCCGGGGCAAAGTGTGAGTCTTATTGTGGAGGTCTTCCATGTTGAGGAGATAAGTCCACCAAACATGAGCACTTCCCTGTCCAGGATGTGATTAAGCAGAGGGAAAATTATGGAAGAGCCCAAAATTGGAAACAAAAGCAAACGGCCCATCTGGTGAAAACCCACAGGGCTCGTGCAGTGAGGTGACCCTCTTCTTGGGTCAGCTCTCTCCAAACATTTCCTGAGACTTCTTTTCCTTTCGGGAGTTTCAATAATTATATTTAAAAAAAAAACTTGGGAAAATAAATGATTACTCTGAAATCTGGAAACGACACAACACACCCGACCACACAAGGTAGAGAGAATATATAAGCTCTGCTTTCACGGGAACTAAGACTTCCTAGAATTTCATGGATTTTATCTGTGTGGGTAAATTTCTACCCTGTTGGTAAATTTGTAAGAGGAGGAATTATGAGCAGACAAGAGAGATTCCTCCTCGCCCAAAAAAGGTCAAGGTGGGGGGGGGGGAGGGGGGTGGAAACAAGTTAGTCTCAACTAACTAGTTATGAAATAAATCAACAAAAATCCATAAACCAAGAGCCCTGGGGGTGGAGGGGCAGCCTGGTTCTAATCTAGCCTGTGGCTGGTCAAGTGTTTGAGTTGCTTTGAAGTGGGTCCCTTTGATGTGGCTGAGAATGTGATTAAAGTTCAAGTCAGGCACTTGTATTACAACAAAGAAAAGTCAACTCTGGGAGCTTACAATAAACAACTCCTTCAGGCCTGAAATGCAAATCTCCTCTACTGGGTGGGGCCCCGCCCTGAGCACACTCTGGAGAGTTTGTAAGGCTCCTGCTGCTGCTCTCCTCTCCCCAACACTTCACTACTGACTACTACAGCTAAAAGTACTGTGTCACTGTATCACTCCCCTGTTCATCGATTCACTCGAACGGGCACCAGTAACGTCTCCATGCGTCCCAGTCCTGAGATTTTAGCAGCCTCTCCTTATTTGTCTTTCCCCACGCTGCTGTATTGGTAAGCTAAGAGTACGATTTTCATAAATCAGGGCTCTCTGTTTTATTTTATCTTTTATCTCATCACAGACTAACAGGTAGCCAAAATTACTTTTTTTTTGAATGAGTAAAAATTGGAAAGAAATTTTAAGTGAATCCATTCAAATTTTAGCTACATTCTCAAGTCAATAAATGACTCATGCCTGGAAAGTAGATGGCATAATCTTAAGCAAAGTTTATTTATAAGATTTTAGAATCCAAGAGTTCTCAATTGAAATGTTCTTATTACTAATTCATGTTACCGGGTGACCACATACGCTATTGTTTCTCCATTTCCTTGCTTGCCCCAATGACCACAACATTCGTTTCTATATCTGTTTATAGTGGCCACATAAACTCGCAACAGAATTTTCTCTAACTGAAAGGAATGAGTGATGAAACAGTGAACCACACACCCATTCTATTATATATCAAAATCAAATCCCATGAAGTGTCTAATTTTTTAAAAATAAATTCAAGGATCCTTCCTCAATCATGTTTTCTTCCTTTTCAAGACTCTGAAGAAGGTGATGTTAAAAGTGAAGCCATCACTTATTGCAGCTGACCTGATCTTTTGTATCTTTGTTATTTTGCATAATCCAAAGACTTAAATTTAAAACTTAAATCCCAGAGTTTCAATGAATGGTCATTTTTATACAGATTTTCTTGAAGGAGCAGGGGGTAGTGCCACCTGGAGCAGAGTTCAGGGGCAGCTCCAGGGCACTTCTTGGACTAATTCCACTGGTGCTCAGAGCCGTGTGGTGCTGGGGATCAAGCCCCGGCCTCACACATGCAAAGCACTCCAACTATCCATCTGAGCTACCTCCCGAAGGTCTGCCATAGATGTATAATATTTATGTTGCAAATTACTCTGGACATCAGCAATTCTCTTCTGGACTCCCTGCTCTATCCCACAAGGCCTCTTGTGGCTCTCAGTGTGCTACTGAGAATTCCTTTCTTGATATTAAAAATGTATTGTTTTTGGCTTTTTGTGCCACACCCAGCAGTGCTCAGGGTTGACACTGCTCTGAGCTCCAGGATCACTCCTGTGCTGGGGGGTGGGGGGTAGGGACCATATGGGGTTCCAGGAGTCAAACCCAGGTCAACCTAATGCAAAGCAAGCACCTGCCCAGGATCACTCTGCCACCTCCACCCTTCGAAAAAAGTGTATTTTCTTAATGTTTTGCTCAGGGTGGTGCTCGTTTTTCCAAACAATCAACAAATGTTGAACTGGAGACCTGACTAGCATCTTCCAAATAAAATTACTCCCAAACCATCACAAGAAACCTAACCTCCAAATAATTATAAGCCTGGGCCATCAACATACTATGCTACAGGTTTCTCATAGAATGGAAAAATAATAGTATCTTTCTTTTTCAGCTATATTAGAGAGGTTAATACAATATGAAAATTTTGTGAAATAAAAAATATGGGGAAAAGGGCTAGAGAGAGAGTACAGTGGGCAGGGCGTGTGCCTTATAAGCAGCCAATCCAGGCTCGATTCTCATCACTACAAATGGTCCCCCAAGGCCTGCCAGGAGTGATTCCTGAGCACCACTCAGTGTGGCTCTACTCCGCCCCCCAAATATGTGTTTCTGTAATTTTAAATCATGTGTATCTGCTGAACAAAATGTATATTTACTTATTATCATGTATGTCTTAATGCTGATTATTCACTTCTCTCACCATACCGCTATTGAAAAACAGAACACTATTTGTTTGGATTTATTTTTAACAAGGTCTAAAGCAGGCCTAATTGAGCAAGGACCTAACTTGAGATCAGATAGCAGTCAGTTCTCTGAAACCACAACTGCATTTCACGTTGGTTGAAAGTCATAGGTAACAGACTTCCACGAAGACTTGTACTGGTCAAAGCTTTTTTTGATTTTCCAAGAATGTAAGCTGAACCAGCGCATCAACTGTAGCTTGAAAGTCATTAATTAATACTGTCAGTATACAATGACCAAAACAATTTCCTACTTGAAAAATTATTTTCCGAGAAACCAAGACGGGGGGGGGGGAGGGGAAGACCTGTTCATTCCATTTGACTGAAAGAAAACCTGGGTGTTAGCATACATGTTGAAATATCGATTGCTCTGTCAAGGCCTCTTGGGATGTGTAAAGATGCAAACCACTAATGGACTAAGGTTGGGAACTAGTGAACTTGGGGTGTGCTCCTGTCTGATTAGTGCTTTAACTGTTCTTGCTCATGTGAAAGCTGCTACAGACATCCAGCAACTTTACAAGCTCACCCACACCACCCACTTATCTGAGCTCCTGCATCCTGGGTTCCATGTACTTTCACTTGCTTCCAATGGGGTTAATTTTATCTACAAGAAAACCCAGAAGCTTTGTTCCCAGAAGCTCCCTTTGGTGCTGCTTTTGGCTTGGTGGGAACTTACAGAAGTTGAGAAAGAGACCAACATTGTCTGTTATTCATGGAAACGTTGACCCTGACATCCAGCCTTCCTGAGAGCTCGGATCAAAGGTTTCTAGTTCACTTTGAAGAAGAGAAAGAGCATTCTCCGTGGCACTTAGAAAGCCCTCGGCATAGTGTTTTGCTTCTCCAGGCTGATTTCTTACCTCAATCATATCTATCCATTCGCGGACATTAAGGAAGCTTTTCTCACATGTAACATCATACAGCAGCAAGACACCGTCTGCTCTTCTGAAGTAAGACTTGGCAATGCTTCTGAATCTGGAGAAGGGAAATGCATATGAGCAACAAGCTAGTCAGCCAGCTGCCACGTCATCCTTCATCTCTGCGGAAGCTCTCTTCTTCTCATCTTCTGAAGGAAGCCCTGCTGAGAACCTCTTATCTATATGTTACTGTAATATAGTCATCTCTCTAGTCCAGCATGACTCAGGAAAAGGTATGGAGGAAAGAGCCTAGGCTAGCAGCAGTGAAAAGCCATTCAATTCCTCTGAAAACACTCCCGAGAATATCTACAAACCCCAAAGGCTGAGAGCAGAATTCCTATCAATGTCAGCTTCAGTCATAAGCTGCCTGAACCCACACTCAGTACAAAGAGAAGGACTAAAGGAAATGGACAGTAGAGAAGAAATACTTGGGATGGAGGTATAAAACAGCAATGATAGGTATGGATGGTAGAACTACTATATAGGGGTAGAAAAGAATGAGCCAATAGATTTATATTTACATATATATCTGCAGGGGTCTTACTTGGGAAACATACTCAACACACATGTCCCAACTGGATGCCAGTGCAAATATGTTACAATATCTTAAAAAGAGTGTCAACCCCAAATATTTTTTAAATGTTGGTATTCCAGATCTGCTAGACAACTAAAGCTCTACAAGGGCAGAGAATTCTTACTCACTCTTGAACAGCTCAGTGGCCTGAAAGGTACCTGGTTCAGAAAGGGCCAGATACCCCAAACAAATGTATGGAACAACTGGACAGATTCTATTCCAGATAAGACTCAGTCTTATGTTTCGTGCGTCTGATCATCAGCAATAAGTATTAGACAAAACACTCCCACCAGACTTGAGTCTGCTACTTAGTTTTTGCCTCTGCCTTTAAACTCAAGGGCACAGACAGATTCTTTTCTTCATCTTTAATTCTTTTCACAGCTCAGTAGCTCCTCATACTGTTAATGCACTCAGAATTATGACCTTACCTAAACCCTCTTGTTTGAAAAGAGCATCCACTTTCTCCTGACTGAACTGTACCAAAAAGGAAGCTAAAAGATCTTATTATGTATCTGATAAAAAGGAAAAAGAGGGAAATGATAAGCACACCTGAGATTTTGTTATATGTAAACTATGTACCATTTGCTAAAACCTTATAGTATGTTACACTTGCAGTATTATAAGTATTCAATACCCCAGCTGTCTATAAGGCTTGTGCAGCAGACCCAGGCAGGCCCTCAAGCTTAGGAAAGGCATGTACCTCTCCTGACCAGCTGTGTCCCAGAGTTGGAGCACTGTTTGTTCTCCATCTACAAAGAGAGTTTTCATTTGGAAATCAACTCCTGAAAAGGGGAAAAAGAGAACACAATGTTAATATCTACATTGCTTAAAGGCTTTTCATTGTCAATGTTTACTTCCAATATTAGTTTTACTTTGAATCCATTTCAGATGAGACAAAAGTTATTCAGGTAACGAAAGAGAGGGACAGACATAGAAAGACTGCACTCATCTGGGGAATATAAAGTAACAGAATGGGAGGCTAACACCCAAGAATAGTTGAGATAAAAAAGTACCAGGAGGTCTGCTCCACGGCTTGGAAGCTGGCAGCACATGCTGGGGGGGAAAGCAAGCTCAGATAGAGAAGGGAACACCAAGTAAAGGATGTTCGGAGGATTCATTCAGGATGCGAGATGCGTGCTGAAAGTAGATTATAGACCGAACACTATGGCCACTCAATACCTCTACTGCAAAAAACTACAACACCCTAAAGGAAAGAGAGAGCAAAAGGGAATGCCCTGCCACAAAGGCAGGGTGAGGTGTGGGGATGGGTTGGGGGGTGTGGGGGTGGGAGGGCTACTGGGATCATTGGTGTTGGAGAATGGGTACTGGTGGAGGGATGGGCACTCGATCATTGTATAACTGAAACCCAAGCACGAAAGTTTGTAAGTCTATAACTGTACCTCATGGTGTTTCACTAATTAAAAAAAAAAAGTCATTCAGGCAAAAGTCAGCTCAGTGAAGAAAGAATATGACTGAGCAAGAGCCACAGTAGAGTGGAGAGGACATTTGCCTTGCACGTGGCTGACCCAGGTTCAATCCTCGGCATCCCATGTGGTCTCCTGAGCCCACCAGAAGTGATCCCTGAGCACAGACTCAGGAGTAAGCCCTGCCAGGTATGTCCCCGAATCAAAAGAAAACAACAAAAGAATGAACATGGCTTTCAGATACTGGTTATAAATCAGACCACATGTGAGAACACAGCTGTCCCTGGAACTCAGGGGAATAGACAGCTTCATCTAAAGGTTGGCTAACTTGGGGAGAGATTTCATCTACAAAAGAAAATATTATAGTTACATGTATAGATATACACTGAAATATGTGTATGTGTATGGAGACGTATAGGCATATATCCTCTGCTTCCCGAGAAATCAAATCCAATACTGTAGTCTTTAACAAAATTATAGTGAACTTTCAATTTTGTTATCTTGAAGAGTATAATAGGATCATAAATTTATAAGAATATTCATACGGGGATACTCATATGGTTCCTGCTTTTCTGGCTATCAAAATTAGATGAAGAAAAAAGACAATTTGCATTTTGCAAATCCTCAACTTTTTTGCTATTATGCAAATTTCATGTATCAGGAAACACCTACTTTCCTTGTTCCAAGAGGAGAGGTATTTTTCAAATTTCCTTATGGAGGAGAGGAGGGAGCATGTGTAAAGATATACATTTCATTGTAGTAACAAACCAGCAAAAATATGTCACTTTATCAATTTCAAATGACACCTGTTGACTGTTCTGCTAAAATTAGACATCTATAGAAGAAAAGCCGTTTTTTTTTTATTTAGTTACTATGAAATTACAAACTTATTCATGATTGGGTTTCAGATATACAATATTTCAACACCAATCCCTTTCTCAGTGCCCACCCACTCATTTGTTTCCCACCGCCAGTCTGCATGTGCAAGAGGCAATTTATTTATGTATTTATTTATTTTGGCTTTTTTGGGGAAGGAGTCACATCCAGTGATGGACTTTCAGAGGTTACTCCTGGCTCTGCACTTAGGAATTACTCCTGGCAGTTCTCGGGGACCATATGGGATGTCAGGATCAAACCTGGATCAGCTATATGCAAGGCAATCACTCCCCCAATTCCCCGCCACTGTACTACCGCTCCAGTCCCTCACAAGGGGTACTTTAAACACACATACACACAAACATGCACGCGCGCGCGCACACACACACACACACACACACACACACACACACACACACACACACACATACTTTGATCGTTAGTCCTGTTACTGATAAGGCTTCATACACAGCACTTTCATCTTTCAGTACCTCCTCTTTCAGGCTGAAAGATGGTAAAATGCTGTGTATGAAGCTCCTCTTGCAGGCTCCTCCTGAGACCACAGACAAAAGAGTCTTCTTTTTTATTATTATTGTTAGTTTTGGCTTTTTGAGTGACACCCTTTGATGCACAGGGGTTATTCTTGGCTTATGCACTCAGGAATTACTCCTGGCAGTACTCTGGGGACCATATACTTTGAATCAAACCCGGGTCGGCCGCATGCAAGACAAGACACCCTACCCGCTGTGCTATCGCTCCAGGCCCCGAAAGAGTATTCTTAAAATGCACTTTTCACCCATTTCTCTCCTTTGGGATATAATTCCTTGGCCAGCTAGAACTCAGCAACATTTTTCACTTTACCTTTAGTAACTTCAACAGTGTCTGGTTCAAGTTAAGTCTTAGGAAATGTTTTGCTGAATATGTGAATAGCACGGTGGGCTCAAAACTTAGCTTGGTTGATCTGACTGGCTAAAGAGATACCTTTGACCTTTCTCAGTCCTCCTGTCCAAAAGCTGGGCCTTAGTCAAAACAAAGGAGTACGATTCCCTGGACAAGGACACAGACATATATTCCTCACAGATACATACCCACAGATCCCTTTCTAACCCTTTCTTTCCCATAGGCACATGGGGAAGGTGGGGAAAGAGAAGAGAGCTCTATCTGTGTATTTAATCACTAAAGAAAATAAAATCACATGAAAGAAGGCCATTACCCATTAACTGGAAAAGGAAGCATACCCAAGGTAGCAAATGTATTTCCTCGAAATTCATTCTTGCAAAGTCTCATGAGGAAACTTGACTTGCCCACTGCAGCGTCCCCGGCCAGTACGATTTTGTAAGCCTTCTTCGAGCCAGCAGACTTAGGGCTGTCATCGTCCATACTTGTCTAAAGGGAAAAGCCACAGTGGGTGACAAAGGAAGGGCCAGTTTTCTCACTTAGGAGTTCTATGACACAGACAACAATAATCCTGAAGAGAAGCTCCCCAAACTACCTACCTGTGGTGAAAGTGCTGAGATGGTCTTTCTGGAACTAGCAACGCTGCCTTCATGAACAGGACCTGGAGATTTCCAGCCTAAGACAGACGCCACCCCATCTGAAATGTATGTTTCGTCATCCCTTATATCAGGAACCTGCATTTTTAAAAAAATGTTAAAATCAGTTAAAAAAGATGTTTCTAACTGTAGCATGGAATAAAGAGAAGAAAAATATGCTGCTGAATATACACAGGCAATGCCAGTAAGACGCAAGGGCCCAAATGTCAGCCTATAAAAGTTTCTTCCCAATTTTGTAGAATAAAAACATTCTATTGACTGTAAACCTTTCAGATGGATTTCCAGGACAAATTACAGCCCAACAGGGCAACAGACTTTTATCAAAGATGAGGCAAAGAGCAGTGACTATTTGTGGGGCTTACATCTGTGTCCGAAGCATCACCCCCAAAGTTCTCCTGGGTGCCACGTGACCTCTGAAATCGTCTCTGGTGCTTGTCTTCCACCTCTGAGTCGTATTCATTGTAATCCCTCAAGGTAGACAAACCACTGTCAAAGCAACTCTCAGGCAGGCTATCAACTTCACAATTAATCCTCTGCATGGGGTCACAGAGGGCCAATGAGTCACAGTCCTCATCCACATAGGAAGAGTGGGATGACCTGAGGGGCATAAGAGAAGGGGGTTTACTGGAGGCTCATGCTGCCTAGACCACACAGGACAGTGGGTGGGATCAAGAAGACCAACATTCAAAAAAAAAAAAAAAGAAGACCAACATTCTCACCTTTGTCAAGAATTGTAATGCAATCCATGGCTGAGCAAAGGGGGAGATAAAATCAGTGAAGTAGTATCAGTTCATTCTATGCAATAAGCCCTCGGATAAAGACTTCAAACTAAATATTTGACAAGTGAAACTAATTTTTAATTACCATATTTCCGGATACAAAAATGAATTATAGTGCCAAGATTTGTTAATAAAAATGTGTGTAGAACATAGAACTGATTTTGCTCCTACTATGATCAGATGATGTCTGCTTTTGCATTTCTACTATGAAGGGATTCTGAGAACTCAGATGGGAAAGGCAACACAGAATGAGGAGACACATGGAAAGAGTTTCAGTTGATTCAGCTGGATTCTTAAAAATTACTTTCTTCAAGTACTGGAAGAGGTGGTACATGAAAATGAATTTTCCTTAATTGGAGGAGAAGAAATAAGGGCCAACAGATAAACTTTTCTGGAAGCCTATTTCTAATCAAGGTCTAATCAAGGGGAATTGATAGGGTACACAAAACTTCTGACATGAGAAATGATAGGAGATGAACACGCATAGAAAAATCAAGGATGATCTCACTTCAAGTCACACAAATCTGTGAGGTCAAAAATACTTTTACCTCATCAGAAAATGTTTAAAATTAACTGAGAAGATGATTTAACACCATACTTCACCTAAATATGTTGTTCAATGATGAAGTCTTGGTCCTAAGTAGACATTAAATAATAAACCCCACTAGAAAAGAATATGTATGTGTGTGTACACATTTGTTGCCTTGTCATTTATGAAACTTATCTTCTAAGACTGATTTTAGGTCATTCTATAATGATTCCAAGGAGATCATTCATATTATAATTTAATACAGAATACTTCAGGTCCATGTTACTATTGAATGGTCAGAAGCATTTTTCAAACCTATTTGTGTTTTTAATAAGGAAGAAGTTAAATCCTGAACTGATAAATCATCTACCTAAATATGCAGACTCTAAATTTAACATAGACTTTCTCAAACTCAACTTAAAAACACACCTTATAAAAGTAAACTACTCTAACCTGTCCAAAGAACATTTTATTTACAATAAATACGTAAAAATATAAAACAACTTATATTTTTATTAGAGTTCTTAAGAAAAAATATAACTAAAATACATATACAAGTTAAAATACAATGAGGACAAAAAAAAAGAAGATTTCATTTCCAACATTTTAGCTAGGTTTTATATTAGTGTCAAACAGAAAAGTAAATGTTAATTTATTTAATAAAAGTGATCACAGCCCTAAAAGAAGCACCTGCCCAGTCCACAGTAGTCTATAGTTAAGGTTCAAGATGACGAGCACAAAACTGCTATATTCTGTTCTTCAGAGGACCTATGCAATGGCTTTGTCCCTTAGGGTCTAACCTATAAGTCACTATAAATAAAATCTATTTTCCTTTTTACTTTGATACAGAATTCAAACAAAATGTAAGTAGGTATTAACATACCTGTCATAGCCCAGCGGTTGCGGAGAATGACCATTAAATTTGGGACTGTTTCTAGAAATTGTATTCCCTGGTGATATATTATTTATGCGCTGTAACACATAAGTAATATTTGTTACTCCAAATAAACATCTGTATTCCCCTACTGCACATACATAAACAGTAGGTAGTCAAACAAGACAGACTACTTTTTAAACTACAGCACACTAGTTACAAGTTGCAATCCTTCTGGAGCAAATTTGAGCATGAAAATGAAGAGAAAATTGCAACAAAGGAGATAGAAACCACAACAAACTATACTTATAAGTGGGCCTGTCAAGGATGCAGGCTGTGAGTAGGAAAGTGGGCAGGAACCTGGAAGGAAGAGATGGAGGGACGTGGACAATGGTGGTGGGATTGGGGCTGGAACACTGTACATCTAAAAATCAACTATGAAGAACTCTGTAAATCATGTTGTCATAATAAAAACAAATTTTTAACGATAAAGTGACAGTCCACAATTCTCTCTGTATTCTTATACACAAAACCTATGGCATAAGCCATAAAGGAGTTCCCCCACATTTTCCAGAACTGCACAATATCAGCTTTTTGATACCTGTCTCCTTTCAAACACTATGCTGACATAGTGACTGACATGTTCGGTGTTATAGTGCTAGAATTCTACACTTAAAGATGACCTCCCCCCTCAAAACAAAACAAAACAAAACAAAACAAAAAAACAGAGGAAGCGTTCTTGTACATGTTCTCAAAATCTTCAGTTGGACTTAGCTTGTTCCTATGGGACAAGTGAAGCTTCAATTTGAACTAATGTCAGAAGTTCACACTCCCTCCTCAGTACTGCACAGGATCTAATTTAGTCCTCAATGGAACCTTCTTTTTTTTAACATTGCTAGCTGTGCACATATTAACTCCCTGCAGGATCTGAATTCTTTTAGAGCACAAGCCATACCTTACACATCCTTCTTTGGCTTTCTTCTAACAAAACATGCTTAAGATGTTAGGCACTTATTTCCTTAAAGAATGATTGCATTTTGAATCTGGAAAAATGCCTCCTTTAATGACATAGGAAAGCATCTTATTATTGTAAACGCCATCTATGAAGTTCCTTTTGAAGAAAATACATGAAAATAATCTACTCCAAGACAGAAAAAAAATGTATGAGAGTTGTGGCACATACCGAGGGCCTGTTGAACTTGCTGTAACTACTTTCCAGGGCACTCCGTAGACCATCATTAGTGTCATGCAGCTTCCGGTTGGCTGTTCTATGGAGGAAATTAATAAAAGAGGTAACTGAAGGACAGAACTTGTAAGATAGGCTCTGAGAGGTTCACAATGAGAGGTGCTTTTAGACTGAGAGGTTCGGAATGGGGAACTACTTACCAGCCTGTGCAACTCTCCACCACTTTTCTTCCAATCTCATACAATGAGATCATACTTCATTTCTACAAGTGCAACTTAAGTGGTGCATCCTCTCTCTTTAGAGGCCTCAAGGCCTTTCAGGCGGAAATGAGCTCTACTGAGAAACCTACTCTTCCCTCCTCTAGTCCCACTGTTTGAACAGGCTTCATGCTGGTCTCTGACCCTGAAGCATGAACCTGGTGGTGTCCAGTTGGCCTCCATGCCACTGCACATACACCAGCAGCAGTGGACGCAGGAGACTCAATCACTTTTTTATACAAATTTCTCATAAGCCTCATTCATAGCCTAATGCCATTCCACCAGACACTTGTGTGCTCTGATGTTGATTCTGGGCTTAAATTTCAGCTCAGGTATTGTCCAGGCGACATCTGGAAGTCACTGAATCTGTCAGGCCCCCAACAACCTCCTCTATGGGAATGAGCTCAATGACAAGATTGTCCCTTTAGGGTCTATTCATTTGTCAGGTCTCAGGTGATCCTCACTTTCTCCAGGAAGGCTTCCTGGATCTTAATGGGCAGGATGAACTCTCCACGATACATCCTTCGGAAAGCAGTCCAAACTCTTTGTCTAACTTCACTTGGCATTTTTCACTGATTTCTATAATGACTGACCAATTCATATTCTCCTCCCATGAAGGAAAGACTTTTTCTCAGTACCTTGAGCACCTCACCTATCAAAAGTGCTGAGTGAAGCTTCCTAAAAGGATACAACTCTGTACAGATGCAGGGGAGACCTAACGAAAATCCAAAAATATATGACAATAAATGGAGTAAGCCTGCTCTTATTTAATTTGGTGTGTGTGTGTGTGTGTGTGTGTGTGTGTGTGTGTGTGTGTAAGGGTGAATGCCCCCAAAACACTGTAGAAGAGAAAAAGGGATATCGGAGGGAGGTTTCACAGAGAAGGCTCTTGAGGATAAAGGTAACAGAACTACAATATATTTTTTTGCTTTTTTGGGTCACACCTGGCGATGCACAGGGGTTACTCCTCACTCTGCACTAAGGAGTTACTCCTGGAAGTGCTCAGGGGACCATATGGGATGCTGGGAATCGAACCCAGGTTGGCCGCGTGCAAGGCAAACGCCCTACCCGCTGTGGTATCTCTCCAGCCCCTACAATATTTTATAATTAAAATTATAACTAGAATTAAAAAACACCATTTTAGTTTAGAGGAAAAATAAACTAAGAAAAATATGCCTCTAACTGAGCCCAGTAAATTGCCAAAGAATGATCAAGCATGCCTGGTGCTATACCAAGACACTGACCTGCAGAAAAAATCAGCGAGCTCCTTCCTCCTTCCTACAGAGACACAGTGAACAGAGCATCTGACTTGGGAGAACTTTTGGAGAACTGGGCTCAGATTCCTAAATTTGAAGCAGTTTATTGGGAATCAGAAGCATGAAAAATCTAAATCCAACAGTGAGAAAAAACTCACAGACAAAAGCAGCCCAGGTGCAAACTGAGTGACCAGAAATTAAGCAGGTAAAAGGAGCGTTTAATAGTAGAACTTACTGGAGTATTTCAATTTGCCTCTCAAGACTATTTCGGTCTTCTGTGTACTCTCGAATTATTTCCAGATCCCTGTAAAAATACATTTTGCATTAAAATGAGAATTAAGTGCTCTGTCTGGCCACTCCTTAGCTAACACCATTTCCACCCCCTTTTTGAAGCTGTGTGTCCTTGGCCATGGTTTCTGATCTGCTCGGGTTCCTGCTCAGTTCTTCTGCTTCAGCCTGTGAGCCCCCGGGGCACCCACTTTGTCAGTCCCAGCTCTCTTCCTCATTGGGTCTGAAACGCGGAGCTACAGGGCCTTCCCTAGAGCCCCACTGTCAGCCCCCAAGGCTCCACTGACACTCTCACTTCTGACCTTTCTCTGCTCATTTTCAGACTTGTTCGAAACTCCACTTACTTTCTCCATTCTTGTGATGATTTCTCCTCTCCTTCCCCTTCCAACCCCTGAACCACAGAAGAATCCACCAGCCCAGACTCTGTCAGGTCCCTAGAAACCTCGGCTGAGTCTTTCTTCATTGCTTAATTGTGCAGCTCTGACCTCCTCAGAAAGTCAACTCAGAACATTTACCAGCCATTCTAGTCCAAGCTCATCTGCAGCTCCATTTCTAAACAGACAAAACCCCACTTCTATCTTCCCCAAACCCAGGTTGTTGAATTTTATCCACATTAACGTGCTTTTCCACTCTTTTGATAACGGTTAAAATTTCCCCAATTACAATCAGAAATTTAAGTTTCCTAGCCAAAAATGCTGGATTTTTAACTAGCTTTCATACTGTTTAATATTTTAAAGACTATTTTATTTGTGTTCAAAGTAGCTCCCCCCGACCCGCCCATTCAGTACACTGATCACTATTCCCCAAACCAGGATTGTCTTGCCCTGTGTTCTTTCTGTGAATTGCTTATTCCCTCCTTTACAGCATCTCACACTTTCTTTTCCCAACTTGGAAGCCCCCATCTTGCAGAATGGGTTGGGTCAGCTGCAGGGCAGTGCTGACCCCCCGTGTCTGGCGGATGGAACAAACCCCATATGCCTCAGCTCCCCCTGCCCTTTGCCCAAAATCCCTTTCCATAAAGTTCTTTGCATCTGTTGCACTGAAAGAACACCCTGTCCACATCCAATGGCAAATCCCGTAATCCACAGGCTGCTAGAAGCAGAATTTCTGTCACTGTGTTTTTAAAATCCATAACCTTTTAGTTCTTTAGTTTTCTGAATTAAATTTGAGAGATTCGGAGCTGAGGTAATAGGACAGCAGGTAGGGCACTTGTCTTGCACAAGCCAAGCTAGGTTTGATCCCCAACATCACATATGGTTCCCCGACCCCCTCCAGGAGTGATCCCTGAGCACAGAGCCTGTTGTAAGCCCTGAGCACTGCCAGATGTGGCACAAAAAACAAAACCAAACAAACCTGAGGGACTCACAGAGTAGAGACTTTTAAAAATATTTTCCACACTAACTGCTTCTTTAGCTCAGGGGCCATTAATAGTAAGCACTTCACAGACACTTAATTCATTGGATCTTAATTCTGATTAAGTTTGCAGACAAAATAACAAGATGATTTCCCCAAGTGTGCAAGCAGGTGTATGTACAAATGGAATGAGCATTTTGAACACATATATGCAATTGATAGGCAAATATGCATGTGAACATGGATGCATTTTATATTTGCATGGCACTATGTAACCATCCATGCACATGGCGAGAGAGAGGCAGATACAGATAACATGTGCCTCCACATGCATGGCACGCATATGTTGGGTCTTACATTATTCACCCCAAACTGATAAATATAGCAAAATAAAATCAGGTGCCTTAAATGGCTACTTTTCCCCTTTCTTATAGTATAGGTTAGGATTCCTATATTCAAGCACTCTAATTTGCATTAACTTTTGACATTTTTGGCATCTTCTCCCAGATAATCCAAACATTTATTAAGTCATGCATTGTCCAATACAAACTATTTCAACTAATTATTTTATTTAAGAAAATTTTCAGAGCTAGAAAACCTGACACTGAAAGTACAAGTTTGGGGGCTGGAGTGATAGCACAGCAGGTAGGGTGTTTGCCTTGCACGCGGCCAACCCGGGTTCTATTCCCAGCATCCCATATGGTCCCCCGAGCACCGCCAGGAGTAATTCCTGAGTGCATGAGCCAGGAGTAAACCTTGTGCACCGCCGGGTGTGACCCAAAAAGAAAAAAAAAAGTACAAGTTTGAAAAGTGACGAACATATCAGTAAAGTAGTAAATAGTCTATCATTATTTAACTGAGCTTAATTCACATCACAGCATTCCACTCAATCCAAGATATAAAACAGGAAGTTTCATACCTCTCAGAATTCAGACTTTGATCAGCATAATCACTTTTCAAAGCATCTAATTCACTCTGAAGAAAGGCAATGTTTGTCTGTGCTTCTAAAAGATCTTTCTTAACTTTCTGATTTTCCTAAAGGGAAGAAGCAGGTCATAAGATTTGAGTGTCAATGCCTCTTTTGCAGACCACAACACCCAAAAGGAGAGAGAGAACACAGGGGATTGCCCTGCCACAGAGGCAGGGGGGGATGGGGGGATGGGGGGATGGAGGTGGGGGGATATTATCCATGGTGGTGGAAAATGGGCACTGGTGGAGGGATGGGTATCTGATCATTGTATAATCGAAACCCAAGCAAAAAAAATTGTAAATCTACAACTGTACCTCATGGTGTTTCACTAATTAAAAAAAAAAAAACCTAAAAAAAAAAAAAAAAGAGAGGCTCAGCGGGCCCATGGCCGGCAAGCTCCATGCAGCAGGGGATGTGCAGATCGCAGACCCAGCCCTGTGCATCAGCTCCAGATGTTACAGCCAAAGGCCAAGGCAACTCTGGACCAGGGAGCTGCCCTTTGTTCAAAAAAAAAAAAAAAAAAAAAGATTTGAGTGTCTTCTACCTGGGAAAATGAAGTAACATCATGTAACCTTCCTACCCAGACTTCCACCGCTCCACAAATCTGCAAATCTTGTTGTTTAAAGGCCCATCTGTTCAACATGATTTGAAACTATAAGTTATCCAAAGTTAAATTCTCAAAACTGTTGTCCCTTTTTCAAAACACTAGATATTTGGTGCTAAATATCCAATAGTCAAAAAAGGTATCATCAGCTTTGTCCCAGTTTACCCATTTTTCTTTTCCCTTTCCTTTTGGTAACCACTAAGTAGTTTAAAGTCTATGAGTTCATTTGTGCTGTCTTCAGTTCATAGATGATTTATGAATAAAATCATAGGTTGTCTTTGTCCATCTGACTGACATTAACAAGCATGAAAATTGTCTAGGGGAAACTTCCGCCTCAGATCCTATCTATTACTAACAAAGAATACTTTATTCCAAAGCTAAAATGGCAGATCTTGCCTTTTGGGGAAAAAAATATATGTCCTGGAAATAATTTCAGAGAGTTGAGTTCATGCGTTGCACACTCAATGCCCCAAGTTCAGTTCAGGGCAAAGCCTGGCCTCGGTAAGCATTGCCAGTGTCCAGACTTGTGGCACCCCAAGTGCTGTGAGGTCAACCCCCACAGAATGCTGTGCCTGAACAGGACCAAACTTCCAGGCACTGGATTCCAGCAGGGCAAGTACCACAGGAGAGTCCCCAGATTCAAAGCATTGCTAAAGACTCCCCAGCACTTCACAAAAGTAAATAGAAGAACTGAGTGAATCCTACAAGGAAAATAAAAGTGTCTTTGAATACCCATGGCCACTCATCCAGGCGACTCTTTTCATAGGCCTCACAAAAGAAGTTCCTCTGAAGAGACTTTCTGGAGACGGGGGGGCCCCTCAGTAAACAGATCTATTTGCTAAGCTATCCAGGAATTCCATAACTTCCCATAGCTTCCAAAATGATCAAATACCAAAATGACAGATGGCAACTTTAAAAAACAATCCACATGATAAAAATTAAATCTCACAGATTCCAATATTCAGATTTTTAAGAAGGAAAAAACTGGAGCAATAGCACAGCGGTAGGGCACTTGCCTTGTGCACAGCCAACCCGGCCGAGCCGGGTTCGATTTTTCCGCCCTTCTCAGAGAGCCCGGCAAGCTACCGAGAGTATCTCTCCGCACAGCAAAGCCTGGTAAGCTACCCGTGATGTATTCAATATGCCAAACACAGTAACAACAAATCTCAAAATGGAGACGTTACTGGACCCGCTCAAGCAAATTGATGAACAATGAGAGGACAGTGTATAAAGAACAAGTAGGTGGTAAGGTATTGTTGGTATCAGAAAAGTAGCAGTTCTTTTTATAATAAGAAACCACAAACTGAACCAGAAACCCAAAAAACAAACAATTCCACAAGAAAGTCATGATTATACTAAAAATCCTATTTAGATGGAGCAAAACAAAGATCTAGTGGCACATAAAGAGAATTCATTTGACCATGAAACTTGGAAAGAGGCACAAGGAAAATGAAAGGAGAGAGAGGAAAGCAATTTTGATTCACGCTGGCTCCCTTGGTTCTGAGTCAGACTAGAGTCATAATAAAGAAAATGCTCATTACTGACTACTTTATCTTGGAGTCAAGCAAAAATCAAACAATTAAAACAGAAAATATGTCAATGCAATCAATTTTGACTGATCAAAGACCAAAGACAGAGTTGGGAGACCAGGGGCAAAGAACAGAAAGAAGAAAGTGTGAGGAGAGACAAGACAAAAGTCCCTCATCTTGTCGGAAAGGGAAGCAGGGTTAACTCCTTAAAGCTTCACGGTCTTGTCATTATTGCTTTAAAAAAATAAGTAAAAATCATTCACATTAACTGGGAGCATTGTTGAGGAGGACAGCCTTCACAAATAATACCTTTGAAAGACAATATCTCAGTCTTTCTCTAATTACAGTTTCAACTTCTCATTAAGCTACTATTCCTTAAACATAAATAACAGCATGATTATGCTTTTGAAATAGTAGCCTAACAGGATTTATATTTATCCAAATGAAATGTGATTCTTACCATAGATAGGTCATAAATTTGTTTTTTTAATGCAGCCACATCTTCTTTTTTTTGACTTATATGTTTAGACTGTTCCTCTAGCTGAAAAATAAATAAAAGTCATGCATTTACAAATTCACCTGGAAGGAATTCTGCAACATTCAGAAATATGCTAGTAGATAGCTATCGAAAATCAAGAAATCCTGAATTTTCAACACTAAATTTTATATATCATTAAGGTAAAATCTAAAGAATTTGAAAAACTGCATTAATAATTTAAGCAACTGAAAATAAGTTGTATCATTTAAATTTTTTTCTTGGGGCCAGAGCGATAGTACAGCAGGTAGGGCATTTGCCTTGCACGCAGCCGACCCGGATTCAATCCCTGGCATCTCATATGGTCCCCCAAGCACCACCAGGAATAATTCCAGAGTGCAAAGCCAGAAGTAACCCCAAGCATTGCTAGGTATGATTCAAAAAAGCAGAAAAAAAAATAAAACATTTTCTTTAAAAATATTTAAAGCCCTTTTCAGAAAACCTTTCAATCACTAAGTAATCCAATCCTCACTTTTCCAGTTATGTTGATATGAATCCAGACATTTATGTTCTCCTGAAACTTTATAAGCACCTAACACTTTCTATCCCATATTACACTTATTTACTAATGTCCTCTCTCTCCAACCAGAGTCTAAATTTTTAAGGACAAAGTAGATATCATATTTGCCAATATCCTTTGTTCATAGAAATTTCAATGAGTGTCTATAAAATCATTTAATGTATCATTAAGCTAGAGACAGAAAGTTGCATAAACACAGACATGAGTCGTGGTGGCTAAATGACTCATTTGCACTTCCAGAATAAACTGGACCATCTATAACATGGACTACACAAATGTCTTTTCTACAGAGAGCTTATGTCCCTGGAGTTAATGGGGATTTGTACTCACAAATAAGCAAACAGAATACTTTATGTCCTAATAGAAACTATGCCTTATTTCACTAATTCTCATCAAAATCTAAGGACTGTGATGCTGTCCTTAACATAGACACTGTACTTCTCTCAGGTGGGATCAAGGGGAAAGTTTTCACATTGCTGTATCACAACTGTCACATGTCTGACTCAGCTGAAAGTAGTCAGTGAATTTCAAATTTATGACAATTTCACAGAAAGAAAACTAGGAAAAAATGTTTCTGAAAATAAAGGCAATTATAACAAATTTGTATGGCTTTCTATAGTTCTAGAAAATCTAACTTACTCTCAAATAACCCATTTCCCATGTCTTGTAGAAAAACCCTGCAGACAAGCAGAAAGGCCGGCATAAGTGAGAGAGCATTGCTGTGTGGTAAAATGACTATGGTGCATTAGTTGTGGTCTTTGAACAAGTCAGTTAGCCATTCTGGAACTCCATGTCCTAAATGTAGAATATTCACACCTCCTTCAAAGCGTCAGGATTAGAAGCTTTGATTATGAAAAAGGGCCTAGCGAGATATAAAGCTAAAAAAGTGTTTGTTTTTATGGTCATGCAGGAAAGTTTATTATTAATAGCACTTTACACTTAAGAAACAAAAAATCCTAAATGTGAGGCAAATCTTCTAAGATGTACAAGGCTCAATAAGGGGTAAAGACTTACTATTCTCAACTCTCATCGCTCGGGGTTTATTTAGACTTCGTCTTACTCTAAATCGTGGCCAAAATAATACATCTTGCTAGATACATCTTTCTTTCGGAACTAAATGAGGTCAGTGACTACGAGTATCTGTGACTTTAACATAGACAGGGATTGGTTCATTTAAATTCTGTAATATAGATAAGTATGTATGATCTAATGAACCTTGGAAATTAAATATATGGTTGACATTGAAAATTATTTCCCACATGTTTGCCACTCAATGCCTCTTTTGCAGACCACAACACCCAAAAGGAGAGAGAGAACACAGGGGATTGCCCTGCCACAGAGACAGGGGGGATGGGGGGATGGGGGTGGGAGGGATATTATCCATGGTGGTGGAAAATGGGCACTGGTGGAGGGATGGGTATCTGATCATTGTATAATTGAAACCAAAGCACAAAAAATTGTAAATCTACAACTTTAAAAAAAAATAAAATAAAATAAATGGGAAAAAAAACATAAAAAAAAAAGAAAATTATTTCCCAAGGATACTGGGAGAGTTCTTAGTAATTCCAAAAATTTAAATTACAATAGCCTTCAAAATACATTTGAATGGTCCTTTAATCTTCCTGAATATATACACTGGAAGAAACACTGAAGGTTATCATTTGAACAAACAGGGAAGAAAGTGTCATGCCCAAATTCACAGTACTGTAGTTAGGAATGATCTGTTTTCATTTCAGCTGAGAGATTTCCAGTGGTTATGATGACAATCTACATAGAAGTGAATCCATATCGTATGGGAGTCAACTTGCACCAGGAGTTGAAGCTGAAATGACAGTACTTACACCACAGAAATCAGCAAATGCAATGAAACCCACTCGCAGTTCAGCAACTACCAATACAGACACTACTCATTAGATCCCAAATAGTGCAAAGGCTAAAACCTAACCATAGCTCTGCTCATTCTCCATGTCCGTCCCGTGCTTAGTAGAGAACCTCTAGATATGCAATTTTCTATACAGAAGAGGAAGATTTCTTTCATTTAACAAATATTTACAGAATCTGCCATTGAAGGGGCAGGATATAAAGGCACTGATCAGGAAAGATAGGTCCTCTGCTATTACTGGACACATGGAACTTGAAGGCTCTTCCCCACTGATGGCTAAAGAAAGAAAATTGGGATTTAACCAGTAACGGTTTAAGGAATCAATCAGCAGATAGTACAGCGGATAGTGGCTCCATCGAAACCCAGCATCACATACAGTCCTCTGAGCACTGCCAGGAGTGATAGCTGTGTACAGAGCCATGAGTAAGCCCTGAGCATCACTGCCTGTGCCCAAAATAACAACAACAATAACAACAACAACAACAATAATAACAACAATAATAATGTTTCCAAGGAATCCTAATTGGCTCTGAAATCCTATTTCGCCTGTAATTTCAATATGATTCCAAGTGGTTTTAGAGGCTAGTAAGTTAGATATCTTGCTATATTGGAGTGATTACTAAATGAGGCTGACCTTTTTGAGTTTTAAGTACCTTTTTGAGTTTCTTTATTGTCACTTGTAGGTCTCCCATTTCTGTTTCATACTGACGTCGAAGGTCAGTGAGGGCTTCCTCAGCCTTGCGTTTCTCCTGAAAAAAAAAATAAATAAAATTTTGGTGATCCAAATAGGTTCTTCAAAATAGCAGATAGAAGACACATTCTGTGACCCACTAAGGCTGATTCCAGGTGATCTAAACAGGGAGAATGAGACCTCATCAAGTGACTCAAGTTAAAGCACGTCTCAAACTGATACCTCCCAATGGCAAAAAAATGCAGAATGTCATCTTCCCACAAATATCATCCGGAGTGACAACCTCTAAGGTTATACATTGTGGGAGAGGGCTGTAATCCATCATTTAACTAACTCATTATTGCTCTAATTAATTAAATGGCATGGCATAGCCAAAGGACCTCCAGTTTGCCTGAATCCTATCAATCACGACACCAGGACTTAGGGAAGGCAGGTGGGTTTATTGTTACCAAGCAAGAGCTAAAACCTTTGCTGAAAAGAGGATTCGTCTATGGTTGACAATCTGCCTTAAGTTTTGGGGCAGAAGACAATGGATAGAGAAGGACCATTATAACAAAGATAGTTAGAAACGATCACTCTGGATAGGAAATGCATGCTGAAAAGTAGGTAAAGGAACAAACATGATAACCTCTCAGTATCTGTGTTGCAGACCATAGTAGAGAGAGAGAGAGAGAGAGAGAGAGAGAGAGAGAGAGAGAGAGAGAGAGAGAGAAGTGGCTGCCATAGAGCTATAGAGGCAGCTGGGGTAGAGGGATTGACAGGAGGGAAACTGGGGTCACTGGTGGCAGGAAATGGACACTGGTGGAGGGATGGGTGTTGGATCATTGTATGACTGAAACCTGATCAAGAACAGCTTTGTAACTGTGTATCTCACAGTGACTCAATGAAAAAAATAAAAATTAAAAAAAAATAAAACGTTTGCTGAATACAAATCACATCATCTGCAAAATTCCTATTAGTTGTTCCTTCCCCATTCACTAGTCCTTAAATGTGCCTCCCCTGGAACAGAATGGCAAAAGGACACCCCAGTGGGTCAGGACTGATGCTCCCATTAGCCCAAGCATCTTTCAGCTTTCTCTTTCAGTTTAACAAATCATAAAATGTTGTGCCCTACATTTGGTAATCAAATATATGCTTCTGCTAACAATGGAGGGAACTGAGTCTATAAATACTTATGAATAATCAACTATGTACTGAGGACTGTGTACTAAGCACAAGGAACCAGAGTGGGATCAGTTTAAATGGATGCTCCGGTGCATCCTAGAGGAGGGTGGAAAGAAAAGAAGACCTCAGGAAGTGACAGTAGAAGGAAGAGCAAATGAGACAGGTGTGTGATAGAAATTTAACAACTGAGGGAACAGATCTCCCTGCAGAGAGGCAGAGACAACACAGTTCCAAGTCTGAACAGCTACCTAATTTATTAGCAGTCTAACAGGACAACATACAGAAACCCCCGACACCTTCACTTTCTGTCTTAATGGATGACTCATGCTTACATTTTATTGCCCAAGCAACTTAGATAATCCATACAAATTCAACAGCCCACATAAATGAAATGCTCTATACTTTTAATAAGAGCAAATTCTTCTTAAGTAATTACCCAGCATTAAAACAGACACAAGTGTCCACTTCAGGGTACCAGAGGCGCTTGTATCCTGGGCACCAAAATGGACACAGTTGCCACCAGGTGCCACTGTGAATATATGGTTTTCTATGCAACATACACTTAAAATACTTTAATGCACATTTCATTAAAAAGAAAAAAATATTTAAAGTGCCTACCTGTCCAAGATGGTTAAAGAAGGCAAACACAACAATGGAGCAGGAGAAAATTTAGAGTGGATGGTAGTGATTTTCCTATGTGACGATGCACACCATATATACCCATGCATTCAGAATGCCATTCTGCACTAAATCCATGACATGGTCCTAAATACTAGAATGTTTATGTTTTAGACAGTGGCCAATTAAAACAATCACTAGGCTTTTTCAATCCTAACCTATCACAGGTGGAGGCCAAGAAATGAGATAGGAGACCATTGAACATCAGTTATAAAGAGCTGGTAGTTAAGATCAACTCATTATAAACTTCGGGAAAAGTTAAATGTAGGGAACACCTCCTAAGTCATTCTAATAGAATATCCTGACTAAAAGTTCCTGAGATTTTAAATGGAACATTTTTATGAGCATGGATGAAAATACAATACGCGAAGTTTAGCAAAAGGTATTATACCATATATAAAAAACAGAACATATATTATAACAAAGTCAAATTTATTCTCAGGTCTAGGTTTGGTGTAAGATTCAAGATTGAATGTATCTCCCACTATTAATATTTTATTAAAGAAAAAATATTAACATATTGATACACAGGAAAATATTTAACAAATTTAATTATTTAACAAATTTAACATTTTGATAAAACTTTTAATGACTGGGAGAAGAACACTTCAATTTAATAAAGGGAATACATGAGGGGAGTTCATGCACAATTCAATCAGCCTAATCAGTGGCTGAATAAATAAGCAGTACTCCTACATTAAAAAATATAATAAATAAAAATAAACACTGTCCTCCAGTTGTTCATCGATTTGCTTGAGCGGGCCCAGTAACATCTCCATTTTGAGACTTGCTGTTACTGTGTTTGGCACATTGAATATATACTCTCGGTAACTTGCCAGGCTCTCCGAGAGGGGTGGAGGAATCAAACCGGGCTCGGCCGGGCTGGCTGCACGCATGGCAAACGCCCTACTACTGTGCTATCGCTGGGTATCCATGAAAAGCATACCATCGGGACCATATTTTGTGTTGAATGAGTGCTTGCTCTCATCATTTTTATTTTAACTAGTGCAGTAAGAATGAAAAATAAAATGATCATTCATATCAGCAAGAAGTAAAACTATTTTAGTTCAAAGATTACAGTCACCTACCCAGAAAATCTAATGTAATATGCAAAAAAGAACTACTGATTATAAAATGCAAACAATGCAATATAAGATCAATATACAAAAATGAAATTGTATTTATACAAAAATAATAAATTGAAATTTAACACACTGTTTAGAGCAGTATTGCAGTATGTAGGAATAAATCTGAGGAAAAATTTATTAAGATATATAAACTTACATACTGCCAAGTGAAATGAAAAATTTAGAGAATTTATCAGGTTTATAAATCACTGATTTAAGTACGAAATTCAATTCAAACCACCAGCATCACTGTGTACACCTGTATGTATGCATATGTGTGTTTTAGAAATTAACTAGATAATTTTATGTAAATTCTTTAATTAACTAACATAATCAAGACAACTTTATGAAGAAAAACTGAATAACCAACACTACTTTATTTTCAAAACCAAGCGTCATCAATATAATGTAATACTGGCACAAAGAGAAAGAAAAGAAAAAGAAAGAGTCCAGAAGTAAAACCAATTAAGCTAATTTTGGACAAAACACAAAAGCAATTCAGCGGAAAACAGGTTTTTCAATAAAAATTGAGGGGAAAAAATTGGCTACCCAGAAGCAAAAAGAAACCAAATAACTCTGATCAATATATTGCAAAATAGTCTAAATGTGAAACTAAAACTTTTAGTAACAGATTTACAAGACGCTTAATGTGTTGATTTCCAATGCATAAATGAACATATGATGTCATAACGTAATAAAACTTCAAGAACAATTGTTTTAGAGAAAAATAGAAAAACAGATATTTTTGACCTTGAATTAGAAAAAGATCTCAGGAGGTTCACATCTCAAACTGGTTTGTGGTAAGTACGCATTACAGCCTGTGACCCTCAGCCAAACCTGGCTGGTAATTTACTATGAGGGACCAGGAATGTGATGGTGTAGGAATTGCCTGGGACGCCCAGGAGGTGTTCAGCGGCCTCCAGGACTGTACCTGGTGATGTTGAAGGACAAGTGGTGCTGGGGGTCTACAGGAGTCAGTCACAGGCACAGCAAGTGTCTTAACCCCTGTGCTCTCTCTGTGTCCCCAGGAAAAAGCTCTTTACTACTCAAATCATGATATCTAAAAGGAAATGAGGCTTCATTGAAGTAAAACATTTCAAGAAATGTTTCAAAATCATTCAATTATATCAACTGATGCAGAGAAAGTTCTTGACAAAAATTCACCATCCATTAATGATAAACACCCCTAAAAGATTTAAAAGGAAGTTTCCTCAAGCTACTAACGAACATCTACCACAAACCTACAGCCAACATCATACCTAATAGCAAAAAAAATTTTAAAAAAAAGTCTTCCCTCTGAAATTGGGCAAAAGGCAAAGATGTCCCTTTTCTCCAGTTTAGTCAGTTTAGTCTTGGAAGCCCTTGTTCCTGCAATCAGGCAATAAAATGAAAGCAAAGTGAACCAAATTGGTAAGGAAGTCAAAGGGATTAAAACTGGTATGGTTCTTGACTATCACTATTTGTAGATGAATAACAATATACATGGGAGTTCCTAAATATTTCACTAAACCCTATTAGAAACAATAAGCCCACACATCAAAGTAGCAGGCTAAAAGCTCAACACACAAAAATCTGTTCTATTTATATATGCATACAATGAACTAGAGAATGAGATTTTAAAAAAGACTATTCTACCTAACATAGTTAAAAAAATCAAGTACCTAAGTGTCAATTTAACAAAAGATGTGAACAACCTATAACTTGAAAACTTTAAGTCATTTATGAAAAAACTAGGAGAGGACACCAGGAAATGGAAAATTATTCCCTGTTCATGTTTTGTAAGAATTAAGATGGTCAAAACAGACATCCTAACCAAGTATTATACAGATTCAATGCAATCTCCATCAAAATCCAGTCACATCATTAAAGAACTGAAAATGAACACTAATAATTGTGTTGTAATAGTATGGATGAAAATAAAAAACTTCCTGAATAACCAAAACATTATGAGACAAAAGAAGTTGGGAGCCATAGAATTTCTTGACTTTAAATTATACTATGAAGCAATAGTATTCAAAACAGCATGGTACTCAAATAAGGATAGAGCAGAGAGCCCAGATATAAATTTTCAGATCTATGGTCAATCATT